TTCTGCTATAATTCTCATCATCCCAATTGCATCCCTGGTTCCTTTTCCTCTTCTAAATCCAAACTGATCTTCTCCAAGTATATCCTCTATTTTCCTTTCAATTCTTCTTTTAAGTATCTTTGCTATTATTTTTGCTGTATGTGCAATACGGCTTATTGTGCGATGGTCGCTGCATTTTGTAGCTTTTGTCTTTTTCTTTAAGGCAATCATTGTCACTTCTGTAAAGTCCTTGGGCCACTCCCACTGCAAGCAATTGTTATGAGGGTACTAAGTGAAATGTAGAGTGAAAGGATGATAGTCTGAGGGCTGTCATCTCCTGAGTGACCGAATTTAAATCCATGTGACTTTATCTTATGGGGCACAATGAAAGATGAAGTTTATGCAAACAGTCCTCATACAGTACAAGAAATAAGAGACAGCATACTAAGAGAAATTTCAAGATTATGACTGTACTGCACTGGTAAGAGGCAGAAGTTGAACACTTCAAGGGCCTTCATAAAAATAGGCTAAAATTATGTGATGCTGGAAAAATGGGGCCATGATACGTGTTGAAGGTTTCCAACATTTTGCAGGAAGTTGTCTATTAATTCTAATAGTACTTAGAACAATTTCTTGAATTACCATACCACAGGAATTCTGAAATCAATCCAAGAATCTGAAATGCTTGCATCTGATGAGCAGAATGATCCAAAAGACGGTTTACTGTCGTTTTCTTCTGAATTAACTTGAAAACCTGCTGTTTTACATATAATGCAAGAACTGGCTGTATAAATTATCATATTGTATTTACATGAAATAGTGCTCCATCTCTGGTCTTTACCTATTTTCCACCAGGTTCCAGGAACATGATCCATAATATAAATATAACTGACTACATATGCACAAGATTCATTTAGGATCGATCCGTCTCTTTTAGAACAAAAATTCCACTCTAATAATGTCCAATATAAAAAGATCCTAGGAACAACAATAAAAAGAGTTCAATCTAAAATTACAAGTTCTCATGATTATTTCCATATCAATAATAATAACTACATACAGTAAACATTGTAATAACAGAGCAGCAGGTTCCTTCATTCCAACATCTTACACACCTGGTGATGGCCAGTGAGGCTGAAGCATGTAGTGTTGCATGATAAGGAGACAAAGAAGTGTGAATATTAATATATCAAAGAAGTTGCACAAAGATGGCAAGGAGTGAGAACACAAAGTTAGTTAACTCTGTTATCTGACACGTATAGAGAATGGAATGTTGTAGTTATATGAATCTGGCAATTGCATGAGAACAATTTATACAAATTTGATTTTCACCCTATTACATTCTTATATCATCTGTTTTATAATCGAAGCAACAAGTTTTCACTTTAGTTCTTATATGGTAATCTTCTTAGGTAACACAGTAATTACTTGATGAAATGTTTTGGATATACTGTAATGCGATCATGAATTCAACTAGCCTCTACTGTAACCACGGATCACCATGATTTCTACAGACACCTGAATGAGGGTGGATGAAGGAAAGTCCTGCTAATAGTGGCTGGGAGAACTACCACGTGTTAGATAAACATATGCACATTGCAAATTTGTTTTTGAAATAACTTTATACAAATAATGAATTTTCTTTGAAACGTTTGCCATTTGTTTCACAATTCCACATGCTTGAACACGGGATAACCGGGGGTTTGCTGTATACTTCAGAATGACTATGATACAAATTAAATACAATAACAAAAAAGTCCAGGTTAATCTACATGAAATAACATACTACTTCATTACATACTTGTTTGGAGTGTTGCTTTTACTAGAAGTCTTGTGTTTGATATAATTCTCCAGGATTTGTTCTACAGTAACTTTTGCTGGCAGGTTCACAAGCTGTAATAAAACAAAAATTGTAGAAGATATTTGTTCACATCATGCTGTCACTCAAACTGTGAATTGTGAATAATGTCACGAGGAGCAGAAGCAATGGCATCATCACTGCCAAATTATAAACATACAGCCATTCCAAATGTCCCTCACCACAGGAGACCTTGGTAAAGCATAGAAAACTGTAAACAGAGTAAAATACCTCACACCACTAGGATTTCTTCTCCACTAAGAATCACGTCTGCATATAAAATGTGGTTTTAAGTGTTAATTTCTTATAGTTATTACTGGCAAACACCTGAAACATACCAAACATATGAAAACATGTTGTATATTATGTCTTCTTCTTTGAGCTCACATTTCCTGTCTTCACCATTTCAACTTCATGGGGAATTTCAACGTCTGATTCATATCTTCAGATATTCCTTGGACTATCTCACTGTAGCTCATGGCTCCTGATCTTGAAATATATTTCTTTTGGGAAATGTTTTACCTTCTCCTTCACTTTCCACACTGAGAGCACAATGTGGCATAAATGTCAGAATTTACTGCATCTTAGAAAGACCAATCCACTAAGAACTTAAATGTTTAAAAAGAATCAGTATACTTTTCTGCACTTACATTGAAGTCAATCCTCTATTAACTATATTCATATTCATTTTCATATTGTTATTGGTTCCAGAAATCCACACTTTGCAATACAGCCTCCAGATATAGAACAAGTAAAATTATTTGTATAAAGTCAACAATACTATAATATTTAACTACATACACAAATTGTGTACATGTCCAACATACCATATAAAACTATATAAAAAATTTAAGAAAACATAAATTCCCCAAGAGGGTAACCAATTCAATCCATTTCACATCAATCAATCAATCAATCAACCAACCAATCCATTCTTCCTTCCTCGTCAAATCACCTATAAAAATAGGGATGATACCTAGTCTTCCATTTGGATAAACATGATACTGAATTATGCACATTTCAAAAAAAAAAAAAAAA